CGACTCTCTTAACAGTTTTCTTCTGTATAATACAGCGAGCAGTGTAAACTACAGTCACCATGTTGTGCATTACATCCCTACACTTATTTATCTCACGACTGGAAGTTTGTACCTTTTAACAACCTTCCTCCAGTTCCCTTCCTCCATCCACCCCACTTCTGATAACCACAAATCTGATCTCTTTCAATGAGTTCAGTGGGATTTTGTTTTTTGTTTTTTGTTTTTGATTCCACATATAAGTGAGATCATATGGTATTTGTCTTTGTCTGACTCATTTTACTTAGCATAATACCCTCAAGGTTCACTGTGTTGTTCAAATAATAGGATTTCCTGATTTTTGGCTGAGTAATATTTCAGAGTGTGTGTATGTGTCTGTGTCTGTATGTGTGTGTGTGTGTGTGGTATATATAATATACCACAATTTTGTTATCCATTCGTACATCAGTGGACACAGGCATTTTCCAAGTCTTGGCTATTATGAACTTGGGGGTACAGATACCTTTTCAAGTTAATGTTTTCACTTCTTTGGATATATTCTCAAGTGGAATTGCTGTATCATACGGTAGTTCTATTTTTATTTTTTTGAGTAACCTCCATACTATTTTCCATAGTGGCTGCGCCAGTTTACATTCCCACCAATGGTGTGTGTTTCCTTTTCTTCAAATCCTCACCAAGGCTTATCTCTTGTTTTTTTAATGATAGCCATTCTAACAAGTGTGATGTGACATTTCATTGTGGTTTTGATTGCATTTCCCTGATAATTCGTGATGTCGAACACCTTTTTATGTACCTGTTGTCTATTTGAATATCTTTTTTGGAAAAATGTCTGTTCAGGTCCTTTGTCTATTTTTTAATTGAATTTTTTCCTATTTAGTTGTATAAATTCTTTATTTGGGGTATTAACCCCTTATCAGCTATGTAGTTTGCAAATATTGTCTTCCATTTTGTAGACTGCCTTTTCATTATGTTGATTTCTTTCGTTGTGCAATAGCTTTCTTCTAGGAGTTTGATACTTTCAGGTCTTACATTTAAGTCTTAAATATTTTCTGAACAAATTTAGAGAATTGCATAAGGGTCCGGTTTTATTCTATTGCATGTAAATATCTAGTTTCCCAACACCATTTATTGAAGAGAACTGTTAAGTGTATAAACTCCTCATTGACTATTCTTGACTCTTTTTGGTTAGATTTAAATCTAGCACTTTACTATTGCTTTCTGTTTATTTAATTTGTTCTTTCTTTGGACTATATTTTATGATTCCATTTTTTTCTCCTATTTGGTATATTAACCATACCTTCCTGTTTGTCTGTTTCTAGTGATTTCTTTAAGGTATTATTTCCCAAACTGCATTTCTTGTACCAGCATCCCCCTGGGAATTGTGAGAAAAGCAAATTCTTGAGCCTTATCTAAGATTTGCTCAATCAAAAGCTCTAGAAATGGGGCTCAGCTGTCTATAGTCTTGAAGTCCGTCAGGTGATTCTGGTGAAACTGAAATCAGAGAAATATGGTTCTAGGTTTACAGTGTACATTATTAGCTCTTCAGTATATTTTAGATAATGTTATACCACTTCATGTACTTCCATTCCCCCTGCATCTTTTTGGCTGTTGTTCTTAATCATCTTCCAAATATGCTATAAACTCTATATTGTATTGTTATTGCTCTTATTTTAAACATTATACTTTATAGGGGTTAAAATTTAGACAAAATATACATTATATTTACTCACAGATTCATCATTTTGGTGCTCTTCATTTCCTTTGAGTAGATATAAATTTCCCTCTAATTTCATTTTCCTTCCTTTAATATACTTTGTAGTGCTGGTTTGTTGGCAGTGAATTCATCTTTTGTTTGAAATTTTAAATTCCAACTTCATTTTTGAAAGTTATTTTTGTTTGATATAGAATTTACTTGATATAGAATATTTGACATTTTCTTTTGTCTTTCAGCACTTTAAAGATATCACTTCATTGCCTACTTATTTGCATAAATTTGCGACAAGAAGTCCATTTTTCATCTTCTGCTTATTATTTGCAATATGTCTTCCCCACTCCTACTTCCCCCAGCTGCTTTTATGTTTTTCTCTTTGTTACTGGCTTTCAGAGTTTTACTTTAAGTTGCCTTATATGGTTTTGTGTGTATTCTCTTTGGGGTTCATTAGATTCTTGAATCTATGTGTTTTTATCAAATTTGGAAAAAAATGGCAATTATTTCTTGACCTCTTTCCCTTTCCCTCTGTCTTCTCTCATGTGGGACTGCAGTTACATATATGTTAGACAAGTTAATATTGTTCAATAAGTCATTGAAGCTCTTTTTTTTTTTTCAGTTTTTTTGCTTTTGTGCTTTCATCTTGATAGATTCCAGTGCTGTGTCTTTAAGTTTCGTTATCTTTTCTTCTGTAGTGCCTATTCTTCTGTTAAACCATAATATATTTATCATTTTAAATATTGCATTTAATCACTAGAATTTCCATTTAGGACTTTAAAAAAAATTCTATTTATCTTCTATTTTTTTTTCTTATCATCTTTATGCTTATTTTTGAACATATTTATGTTTATATGTTTATATTTATGTTTATGTTTATATTTCTCATCACTGTTTCAATGACCATGTCTGATAATTTCATCATTTCTGTCATTCTAGGCCTCTTTCTATTGATTGGATCTTTCTCCTTATATTACTTTGCTAGGGCTTCCTTAACAATATCTCACAGACTGAGTGAATTAAACAATAGAAATTTATTTCCTCAAAGCTTTGGAGGCTAGAAGTCTAAGATGAAGATGCCAGCAGGGTTGATTTTCTCTGAGACCTCCCTCCTTGTCCTACAGATGATCACTCTCTTATTGCCTCTTCACATGTCTTTTTTCTGTATCTGTGCATTTCTCATTTCTCTGTATATCCATATTTCCTCTTCTTATAAAGACACTAGTCAGAATGGAATAAGGTCCACCCTAATAGCCTTATTTTAATTTAGTCAAATCTATAAAGATCCTATCTCCAAATACAGCTACATTCTGTTTGAAAGTGGTTGATAGGTGTCTACAAAACAAAATTACTAAACTATAAAAAATGCCTTAATTCTTAGGGTAGTAAAGTGGATTTTTTCTGGAGCCAACAACATAATTTCTAGGGAACATGAACAGATAGGTTCACATTGAGTAATCCCAACAGTGACCTGAAACTCAGTAATTCCCTATTGAGACCCAGAATACCAGATGGTACAACAACAAGATTCTTAATTCTGAATTTAAATTTGAATAACGTATAAATTTGGGGGTGAGGGGGGAATACAGTGTAGCACATAACACTCCTAGTTATAATTTATAGTTCATAACTTCTTGCTCTATACATTCCTCATAATTTTTGATTCAATGTTGTGCATTTTGAAATTTAGATGTTAAATGCAAATTTTTGATTTATTCTTTTTAATAGTGTTAGATTTGTTTCTGGCCTGAAATTTTGCTACTTGGGTTTAGTTTGATCTTTTCAAGGCTTGCTTGTAAGCTTTGTTAGTATAGGTCTAGAGCAGTCTTCAATCTAAGGTTGATTTTACCAAATAAGGTGATACCTTTGCAAATAAGGTGATACCTTTCTAGAACACTACCCATTCTCCCCCTTATTATATATAGCTCTTACCATTCTGGCTTGTAGGGGTATGAAGTATGCGCAATCTTGTGTAATCTCTGGATTTTGTTCGACCTACTACTTCCTGGTAGTTTTTTACGGACACTCATGTGGTTTTTTTTCTCTCACTCATGAGCAAATCAGTAAAAGACTTAAGGATTGCCTCCTATAGATCTCCAGAGCTTTTTTCTGTGGATCTCTCTTCCTTTCCATATTCTCCTTCACAAATTCTAGCATGAGTTTCCTCCCTTCTGTTCTCCACCCTGTAGCTTGCTTCTAGGTAATAAGCAGAGACAGTCGCTGGACTTACCTTGTTTTTTTTTTTATCTTTCTCAGGGATCACTGTCTTGTTCTGCCTGTTGTCCAGTATCTGTAAATACTCATTTCATATATCATGTTTTTCTAGTTTTTTTAATGCAAGGGGATAAATCTAGTCCCTATTACTCCATCAGGACTGCAAGTAAAAGTTTTATTTTCATAGTTCTTTGATTTATTTTTCAAGGTGACAGGTTTTAATATCATCATTTTTAGTATTTGTTATAAATTTTTGGTACCATTTAAATGGATTCACTGTCTTTTTTTCAGCACAAATTATTCGCAGACAATATATTACTGTATTTGTGTAAGATATATGAATTGTTAATCATTTTGATATCCTAGGAATAATTCAAGCAAATTAACAAACTTTGGAGGAAGATCAATGTGAAATATTAGTCATTTCCTGGGATTTACTTAATTTGTTAGGTATATGTATAATTTATTGACTAAAATTTTATGTTAGCAAGTAATAAAACCTACATGGCATTTGTTACAATTATTGCAGTGCATAAAGAAAAAGGAAAATTCATCCAGATAAATATGCTTTTTTATTTCAATGTGGATATAGATTAGTCACTTAAAATTATCCTTTAAAATTAGTAATAGCTTTTCTTTTCTCTTATTCATCATTGCCCATGCAAATCCGTGGTATCTTTTAGGAAAAAAAATGTATGTACAACATCTGTAAGAGAAGATTGACATGAGCTAGTGTGGCTGAACATCTATCAACTGTTGCTTTTGATTTAGTTTCTGTCCTCATTGGTGGCACATAATGAAAAGGCCAAGGGAGACTGCTCACTCTGTCTGATAATTAGCAAATATGTGCTCATAGTTACATTCTTTGAAGTATCCTGAATTCTAAATTGACAGCATGAGGTAAATAAATTATCTTTCAGGTGATCATTTACATTTAGAAATAATTAGAAAATTATTTTTAATATGCAAAGCAGCAAAAAATTAGTTTTGTGTAATACCTTAAACATGCTCATAAAGCATATTTCCTGTCACGCTATGCCAAATTTTCCACCTAATTTTCTGTTCCTTTCCTCTCCCTTCTTAGGAAAACAGTTGGTGTTTTTTGCTGTGGACCCAGTTCAATTTCTAAGATTCTTCATAAATTAAGTAACCGAAACAACTCATATGGGACAAGATTTGAATACAATAAAGAATCTTTCAGCTGAAAACCTTTGAGATGAACCAGGACTCTAAAGAAGGAATGAGTGCAATTTCTAAGACTTTGAAATTCAGCTGAATCAAACAGCTGTGTCACACCAAAGGGTAGCAAGGTGTTCTTATTTATGATTATTTAAAATGGAAATGCAGAGAATGTGGCAAGATGACAGGTCACATTACATGTTTAATCTGGAAACCAAAGAGGCCCTGAAGAATATTCGATGTGATGATTCACTTTTCAATGCTAGAATTAAAAGAAAACTATTAGGCGCACACTGTTGATTTTTATGGCTGATTCGAGAACTCCCTAGTGAGGAGCCGCACTTGCAAACTGTGAGGCTGATAGTGTTGGTCCTCTTTAAATTGTTTTTGGTTGAACAAATGCAAGATTGAAAAAATTAAAAATTCATTGAAACTCAGATTACATTTTCTACATGAGTATAAACAGAGTAGCTTCGATTTAGAAAAGCTCCAGGCAAATATATTAGATGTTTGAAGATACAGCACAGGACTCTATATTGATACGGGTGTCAATATCTGATCTTCCTCACTACTGATGCTAATACCTCTATTTGATATCCGTAGACTTAGGTTAAATGAACTTTTTACAGATGTTGATATAGTATCTATTTTTATATATTTCTTTCTTTTATTTCCCTCTGTTTAGGGAAATCTTCCTTCCCTTGGCATGCATTAGGCACAATGATTTAATCAGTCACTTTCACTCTCTACTTATTTAATCTATTACTATTGCATAGTAATGAGGAAAATATCATTACAGTAACTTACAAAGGGATCTATAGACTAATAATTTTTTCGCTTTTCAACATTGTGATTTTTATTCTGTTATTTTTATTCACTTTTTCCCTAACATAGTTTGTCTTAGTTTTTAGCCTCGTAAGGTACTTCATTTAATTTGCACTTTGTAACCAAAAGGCATCGTGTCTGTCAGTGGTCACTGAGATAGATAGATAGATCTCTCTTCTGTCACACATTGGTTTATGCTGGAAACATTGAAAGTGTAGTCACATTCCTAAACAGGAAACCTATATTTTACTTTCTACACAAAATGAGATACTTCATTAGTTATTCAAATTTAAGTTCAGAATTAAGAATCTTATTGTTGTACCATCTGGTATTCTGGGTCTCAATAGGGAATTATTGAGTTTCAGGTCACTGTTGGGATTACTCAGTGTGAACCTATCTGTTCATGCTCCCTAGAAATTATGTTGTTAGCTCCAGAAAAAATCCACTTTACTACCCTAAGAATTAAGGCATTTTTTATAGTTTAGTAATTTTGTTTTGTAGACACCTATCAACCACTTTCAAACATAGCACATTGCTGAAATCAGCAGTAAGATTTTGTTAAAATTTTTCATGATATAACTTGATAGATGGTACTGTCATTTTTTTTGTTCTAATTTGCCAATAGCAATCAAGCATGTTAAACCATCTAGTACTAAATGCCCATATATATTACTTACAGATATTTCTTTCTCTCCTTGGAATTCTTTCATCTCCCTTCTTTGGAAGGAAGGTGAGCCAGAAAAAGATATGGGAAATGTGCAATGTTCCTACAACTTTATTTCTGAAGAAATATTTAATAACCAGTATACCTTGGCAGCACTTTCTGAATTAAAGAGAATTTTCACAAAACACATGACCGAAAGAACTAGTAAAAAGAAACAATTTAGTACACGTTTGATGTGCAATACTGACTTTTTACTGATCATAGTTTATTTAAATGATTATATTAATACACCTAATTTCAGTAAGACAGGTGGACAATTTTTTAAAGGAAGAGTGATCTTTCCAAGTAAATAAGTCTGATATTCTAGATGAACTTCTTTGCGTATTTTAAATTTCAGATGATGTTTAAACGTTAAATGTTAGCATAGGTAATTTTTGCCTCTATAGTTGGGAATGCAGGGATAATAGAGCTTTGCATGGATAAGATGGCTTTGTTTTGTTTTGAGGGATTCTTTCTAGCTAATTCTTTCTAGCTAAACAAAGATGGCTTTGTTTTGTTTTGAGGGATTCTTTCTAGCTAATTGCTGCCACATAGGTCTTAAAACGGTAATTTTAGTGGCAATAAATGTTAAAATTGAAATGGTATTCTTGATTTTCTTGAAATCTCCATAAAGCAGAAAGAGTTTCTTCTCCAGAAGATACAAGTTTCAGAAACATCATTTATTTGAGAGCACTGTAGCTTAAGCCGCCTTAGGGATTTGCATTCTCGCACTATCAATGTCACTGGCTAAAGGGGTGACTATGGCATATTGCTCCTCACTCTGGGATTAAGATTTCTCATTTGGACTAAATCAGTAGTTAGTTAATCTTTTTAAAAGTAATGTATCTTTTTGAAGACCTGATTAAAAAGGAATATTATGACATATGTAGAAAATATTACAATCATAGACAATCTTGGGGGCCCACAAACAATCTCTCCAAAAGAAAAGACACCAATGTAAGACTCTCTGAACAAAATGATCATCATTATAGTTTTTTTATTCTATTTATTTTTTCTTTAATTTTTTTTTTGGAAGAAACTATCAGTTTTTATAGGATTATACTGAAATTAACTCTGTGGACAAAGGAAAGGAAATTCTATTTGTATAACCCAAAACAAAGAATCCAATGGACTCTTCTATTGGTTTTTAATCTTCTTGTGTATTCTGCTTTACACACAGTAAGACTATGATTTTATATATAAATAATAATTTTAAAAACATTCACATACCACATAAATTTGGGGCTTCGTTTTTGTTTATTTGTTTTTAATTCAGGTTAAAAATGAAATCATTGATAGTGACGATACATGATTTTTTCATGTAGTGAGTTTAAATGGCAGTCAGGTGATTGTGATAGTACAGGCACTTAAAACAAAGAAATAAAAGAAGTGTAGCCAAAGTGTAAGCTGAACTGATTTAATCCACAAATCCATGTTATTTATAACCCTCCCAAATCAGAGTTTACTTGGAGCATTCACAGAAGGTAATAGATTTAAATTATAAGGCATTGTTAAAAAGGCTTGCTGGAGGCAAATCGGCTGGCCATTGTCATCAATAGGTAATGCTGGTGCTGCCTAATGTTCAGTTTACTAAAGAGAAAAAATTTTAGGTAAAAAAATTTTTTTTTCCTTAAGGATGGTTAACTCAGCTGGACAGTGATTCTTCTAAAACCAATGAGATTCATTTTTAATTGCTACTCATGATAAAGAGTTTCCCTTTCTTATGCTATCTAGGACACCTTCATATCATTATATTATAAAAATATAAAATACTGAAGTTAGGAGTACTGTTATTTTGCAGGTGAGCAAACTTAGGCCCAAAGGAAGATGGTGACTTGTTTCAGGTCATCCACTGAGTTCGTTGCAGTTTCCCAATCTCTGCTGCTGAAAGGCTCTTTCTACTCCCCATAAAATATACAACTAATAAACATATCCAGTACTGTTTGAATCTCCCTATAAACTCTAGCGCTAGGTGGAAAATAAGGTACTGAGTGTTAATTCCAGATTCAGGGCAGAAAATCACACTCTGCTTGTCCTGTATATCTTCTGATTCTAATTTTGTTAGTCTTATATATTTTGCCTATTTGAATCTGTTTTCAGATATCAGTTTTAAAATATGACAACTGTACTAAAGGGATTATGTTCTCCAGTACTCTATTGGAAATAAGTAATAGTGTAGCTTCCAGGAAATGCTACTATTATAATTTTAAATTTAGGTTCATAGACAAAAGTCATAACTTCACCAGCTTTCTAACCATTCAGGGGAATTTTGTTATTAAAACTAATGACTCTTGTTCTCTGCTTACATGACCATAACATGCTTCTTGATCAGGAGAAAAGAGTCACCATTTTGTAAACTAGTGAGACAGAAAATAAATGAAATCAAGCATAATGAGATCTGCATTTCTTTCAACCACAGCAATGAGAACTCACTGTTTCCTTCTGTCTAAATATCCCCTCCATTACCCCAACTTCTTTGTTCCATTCTGTAGAATTCTCAAAGGACAGAGTTGCAAAAGCTAGCTAAATGAAGTTTTCCTAAGAAGCAGAAGACTTCTGATGCTTAGCAAAGAAGGGCTCGTTAAGAAAGAAGAGAAAAAAACGGCCATGTGAATCATTTAAAATTAGCAGAGGCAAGCAATGTTGCTTTAAAACAGAAACCAGTAATTTTTTTAAAGTGAATATACAGAATTTTATTTTCCTGTATACATTTTTTTATATTCCTGTTTATAGAATCTAGAAATAAATTTCTTCTTTTATTTTACATTGTAGCAAAATCACCAACATTCTTAATGCAGAGTGTTAAGCTACAATTTAAGAATTAGTAAGGACAAAAAATACTTCATAGGAGAAAAACTAGGAGGAAAAAATAGGAGTCAAAGAAATAAAACTTATTTAACACATTAGGACATGATAATGCTTTTCTTTTTATAATTTCATACATGATCAAATGTGTGGCAAAACTATTACTCTTGTTTGGGGAAAATGTAAAACAATGTTGTATTTGGTTTTTTAGGGATCCTTTTGCATTTTCTTTGCCACTAGAATTATAGCAGAAGCTTTACCTTTAATCAGAACTATAATCTTTTTTAAGAATTAGAGCTTTGATGAGCTGCAGGTTGACCTAGAGACAACTCCGACCTTTAGATGAGAACCAGTATTACATAAATGCTTTAAGATATGTAGCAATAAAGAAGGGGAGGCTGCCATGCATTGACTAAGCTGCATATGCCACACATTAACATTCTTTCATTTTTAGGTCATATTTTTTCAGCTCTGATCTTTCTACCCAGAGAATGAAACCTTTTTAACAATGCAGACACTGAGAAACAGATATTCTCTCTGTTGCATAAGTGTGTCTGTTCACCTGTATCAGCACCTTTATTTGAGCCAAGTTATCAATTTAGGATGACTGTATATTTCATTTTAGTGGTGAGAAATCTCCTCAAAGCATCAAATTGGAGCCTTGCTTGCCTGCTAAAAAATATATGGCAGCCAATATACGACAAGCATTGACTAGGGAGAAAGCAGTTAAATCTTTTAGGTTTTCCTCTCCAGCTGAGCCTTAAAGGAATATAAAATACCTACTCCATGACCTGGGTTGTACTCCATGTCCTGTGCTTAGACGTGCTGCACAGTTTATTCTCCAGATTCCCAGGGACTCCCTGATTCAGGGGCTCTGGAAAATACTAGCTCCTGAGTCAGCTTGGCGTCTTTTTCCACATAACTGGGTGCCTACCAAGTATAATTACATCCTTATTTAAAGGTGATGATTATCTGCTTACCAAATGGCCATCGCAAGAAACTATTTTCTTCTCTTTTTTTTTTCATAAAGTTCGATTAAAATTCAGAGTTCGAAAAAGTAGAAATCACTTTAAAAAGTGGGAATAATGGTGGCAGTTCTGTCCTACTCTGAGTGTGTGCCAGTATCATCACTTTATCTAGTTATCCCCAGTGTGTGGAGTGAACAGGATCCTGGGTTAGAAATAAAAATACATGCAGCCTTTACACCTGGAAAGTATTAAACTACGTACATAAAAATTAGAATGATGTCGACCTCTGCTTAACTTACATGGATGTAGTGAGGCGAGGATGTGGGGGAGAGGAGGAAAAGAGTGGTGAAGAAAGAAAAATTTCCTGAGCAAATCTTCTTTAGTAGGTTTTTGAAAATACAGTAAAAATAAAACAATTCTAAAAAAGTAAAAACATAGACCTTTATGAGTCACAGTCCATTGTAACTGAAAGAGTATTTAATTGTGTTTTCTGGACAAGTAGAGAAGTACCCACAAATTGGCACCAGTAATATGTTCTGAGATTCTGATAAAGTTGCCTGTTATGTCCAGTATATCTGCCTTCTGAATTCCTCAACTAATTTTGATCAGGCCCATTGTGGCTAGAAATAGCTGTATTGATCTATGACAATTGAGCTAGGAATTGGAGGGTGATGTAACTTATTCTGATTACTTAAGGTTTGATGGAGTAACAAACAGCTATTCATGAGACATCCTACTGAGTTAAAACCAAGGCCTGTATCTTAAAACTAGAAATAATTCTATAAAAGAAAAGAGCACTGCATTGTAGCTATTTTTTTTCTAGATGGAAAATAATAAATTTACCTTTTTCTTATTCTTGCCAAAGATACTTTACATTATGTATTTTCATTAAAGCTCACATTATTTCATTATTTTGTATATATTTATATTTAAATTATGTACATGTGTATATGAGAGAGAGTGCATATGTGAGAGAGAGAGAGAAAGAGAGAGAGTGTGTGTGTGTGTGTGTGTGTGTGTTATGGTGGATTGGAAGAAAAATTGAATAAAAAAGACATTCTGCAATAATGTATAATGACACTTTCCAACTTTCATTATAAGCATTCGACAGTGACAGGTTTGAAAATGAAAGAAGTGTAGTCCTCCCATGAAAATGTGAGTTACTTAGAAATCCAGGTGTGGCATCTGATTCTTATCTGGCTAAATTTAAGTGTGAGTGTATACAGTGGTGGAGAGAGTGCACTAACTCAGATTCAATACTTGTAAAGAACTTGAAAAAATACATTTATTTCTACATGTAATTTTATGTTTTAAGTCATAGTATGTTTGTGGAAAACATTCATTGTTTTAGAACATGGCATAGTGTTTAAAAGCAAAACAAATAAAGATTGAACAAATATACTTAAAATTCCTTTAATTGTAAACTAATTGTGCATTGTTAACAGTAAAAATTAAGAATTTTCTTCACGACTTTGAGAATGGGCTATTTTTTGTTTTCATATTCATGAAAGACGATCACATTAGTCTTACTTATGAAGATATTAAATAAATAATATTTAAGAAATGTTCCTTTAAAAAACTTTGAAAGTTGAACAAATATACTTAAAATTCCTTTAATTGTAAACTAATTGTGCATTGTTAACAGTAAAAATTAAGAATTTTCTTCACGACTTTGAGAATGGGCTATTTTTTGTTTTCATATTCATGAAAGACGATCACATTAGTCTTACTTATGAAGATATTAAATAAATAATATTTAAGAAATGTTCCTTTAAAAAACTTTGAAAGTGGTCTGATTCCAAGATCTCAACACTCTTATAACTTTCG